CAGCAAAAGGACTGAAAACATATAACTGACTACAATAAGTTTCAAATGCAAACAGCAGCATGCCTCTCAGGATGAACGTTAAGTTCAAAGGAGTGTTACTCAAAGATTTTAAAGTACAAAAATGTTAGGATTATAAATGACCCTTGCTATTTTATCTCTTAACAATCCCTCGACTTGATACATTTCATTTATTTTCAGAACAAACATTCCAACCTAAGAGGATAGCAATATTGACTAACCCAGGAGTTTTGTCCATCCATTTACATTATATGAAATTAGGTGGTTAGTACAGCTATCCTATCCGAGAAACTAATAGTTACTAGTATAACAAACAGAAAGTAAAGCAATTAAGTTCCAAATAAAATAGGCTCATTAATCTGATAAGGCAGGATAGAAATGCAATATAACAGCAGCAACATAACTGCCTTTCTCATCCCTTAGTATGTGTGAAGAAGTGTGTTGAGGAGGGGCCATGACTTAGTGGTAGCAATTGGTTCATTTCCAGGAACACACAGGAACTTTTTCCATACTCTTTCAGACACAACCTTTCAACACTTAGAAGTGACAACTTATAAACATATTTTAAAAAGGAAATAAGGCATAATATAAATTTTATATAAACTCTTTGTTTTGAAGGGTTTTGCTTATAGTGGTTTGAGAAGAGAATATGGATAAATGTCAGATGGAACTCAAACTCAAAATATATATTTGCTCACTGTTATTGTGCTTCATCTTTTTAAAAATTGGTAGTTTTTTGCCTTTAAAAACTTATAGCACCATATATAATACTCAAAAATATTTTGCATGTAAACTTCTAAAATATGACAGATTAGCTAATTATGTTACTTTCAATCCACATAATGTACAACCAGGGCCTGAGAATTTCCAAACATTATGATTTCCTACACAGAAAAACACTTACGTAGGGTTATGCATGAAATCAGTACGTAGTTCATCACATGCGATGATCTACAGTTTTGTCTATTACTACACAGTCATGTTACTGTTGGTGTTTGATCTAGATATGTGTATGGCCGAACACAAACATGCTCATAATCTGCTGGTGGATTGCACACAAGTTGCTAGGACTTCCAGCAGATCAGTACAAGAAAATAGGTACATTTAAAATATTCACAGTTTTCTTGTACTTTAATATTGACAATATACAAAAGACATAACAAAAAGATACAGAATTTCATGAAAACATTCAAAATAACCCAGTCGCCAGAAGTACATTGTCAATGCACATTAAAAAAGGATTAAATTTAAATACATTAAAACCATGTGAAAGCCCCTTAGGGATTAATTCAATGTACCATTAAAAAACCAAACAAGAGGGCTGGAAAGGCATATCCAACTTCAGAGAGGCTACACATTAAACCCATTTCTATGAATGCACTAACTGTGGATGACAATGACTTGGATCCAAAGACCCATGAGCAGAAGAAGATTCATTTGTGCCATTGCATAAACTCTTGTGCAAGCTGTAGCAGAAATTTCCTACAGTACAGTGTTTCAGTGTATCAGGAGTTAATTTAATTTGTGCGAAGTCTTAAGACCTTGCAGAAAGAGAAGAATTCCTCTGGATTTATGATACAGGTCTCACAGAATGCTCTTCCATTAAATCAAAAGCAATTTCTTTAAGAGGAGGAGCATCTTTGGATCCAAACCAATGTGATTCTTTAAAATGTCTTACTATGTCACTGTAGGCAAAATTTATAGCAAAATGTTAAAAACAGCCAGTACTTTATGTGTGTAGTATCTTTTGTATATCCTAGCTTGGTATCAATCACTAATTCACTGAATAACTGAGCATAAAGTTGTGCCACTCTGCTGCTGGAAACACGATTATGATACCTAAACAATTATGACACTTAAACTGTTAGTTACAAGTGGACACAACCAATATTTAGGATTATAATAACAGTCGAAAGTTCAGGCTAGCACTTACAACATCTAGTTTAGAAGGGTTATAGAGGTGGGCAAAAATAATATCATAACTTTTTAAATACTCACATTTATCCTTCAATAAAGTTAGGGCACTACACTCCTGGGATAACATACTGAATTTTTTTAGATGCACAACACACATTTAAATGAAAGTTGTTCTCTCACACACATGTAGCACAAAAAACACCTGATAAACTAAGGGTATGTTAAGAATATTTAGCTGCTGTTCTATAATGACCACAGAATGTTTTCCTTAAGCCTCCTTATATATAAAAGTTCTTGTATCTCCACACAACAGTTTGTAAAATTACATGAGTTTTAAACTTTGCCCAAAATATACATCTAAGAAAGAAATGCAGGTTTTAATTTACAGAAACCAAAGTAATTTAAAAAACTGATTGTTTTACAGAGAAGTGATCAACACAGAGCACTCCATTTATACCACATATCCTTTCAGTATACTTGTAGTATTTTAACCATTTCACAAAGGTGAATACTGTTTATTTTTATTAGACATTAATTTGTATCCACTTGTATAAAAGTGCACCCATTTGAAATTAGCTAGTCTAAAACACTCAACACTACTTTTAAGCTTGTAAACATAATCTTTCAACTCCAATGCTCAGTGTTGATGCAAATTAATTCCTCCTAATTATTGTGAAGCTAGATTGATACCTCACATTTTATGTTTAAAAATTAAGACATGCAGCAGTATGTAACTGCAAAGTGAGTATATGTTTAATACTCAGTTCTAAACACAATTACATCCAATTGGTTTGAAATTATTGGGAATAGGATAGAAACTCAAGCCAACCAAATGGAAAATTCCATTGTTACTCTAAGGGGAAGTCACCATCAATTATAACCAAAGAAATTATATTTTTTCTAATATGATTTCAAGAATTAATCAGTAAACCTTGATTTGCTAAACAGAACATGTATAATTGAAAGGTTTAATAAATAGTTGAACCATATCGGTTATGACATTCCAAGGACACAAAATATGTAAACATCACCCCTGTAAGTACTGCTTCAATTTGAATTTACTGTGTAAAGACCAACAGCTCACTCTACATCCTAGTTAGATCAAAGGAATTTAATAAGAGTGAACAATAAGATCATACTGTCATGGATTTACATGTAAAACATAGTATTTTTGGATAAGAGTCTCCCCCTAATACCTATGCCAAAATCCAAACATATATTTTAAGCAAACTTAATGGGTTGGGGAAGGCCAGTTGAATTTTAACCCTTTTCCCCATTTAATAGCATATACCTAAACCATATTACAAAAATTGTTTTTGTGACCCTCTCAGTCATAAAAATGTCATACTATGCACATGGGTGACTTTTTTTCAAGAAACAGAAGTTCAGACTCCCCAATCCTCAGGCAAAATACAGCTAGATTCTTTGGAAATTAGTCCTGCGCTCCCGAATACAAAGTATTACATTCAAAGCAGCTAGAATTTCATTCAGGATGCTTTAAAGGCACAATTCTATGCATATTTAGATAGATAAAGTCCTGCAGCTTTCAGCATTCCACAGGCAGCATGACTGACTGGGGAATGCTGGAAGATATAGGACGTTTTTCTCTAAACATGCATAGGAGTGTGCCATAAATGGGATATGGAAGTGTATTACATGTATTAAGAAACACTTCCAGGGTTAAAGTCAGCATTGTCATCCTGAATGTATGTATGAACACACGAAGTCTTACTGCCTCCAACCACTGGCAGGATTCACTTCTTATTGGGACAAATGAACAGTTGATTCTTAGCCCAGGAAATTTTTTACTGCAAAACAATTACTGAATGTAAGATGCTATTTACTGGCTTTTCTACTACTGCATGGATCTGACCTGCCAGATGCTGGTGGACTACAACTGACACTGACCATTGACTAAGGATGAAAGGAGCTAGAGTCCAACATACAATGAAGGGAAACAGGTTCCTCATCCTTGTGCTGCAGACTAAGTATGACAGACCTTCCAGGACTGTACAATTTGTACTCCGTATGTGTTATGATGGCGTGCTTTTCTCCTTTGACCTCTCTGAATCATTGGAGAATGGGCAAGCAAACAACTCCTGTATTGTGAAATGGGCAGGAAATCAGCGATAATTGCCTGTGCTAGGTCCAGAACAAAGAATGAGGGCCTATTCCAACATTTAAAAATTAAAGTTGGTAATGTACCTCAGGAACTGAGCTCCCCCAGTACCACCTCAATCTACCCAACCATTACTTCCCTACCCCGTCTGTCACATATAAAGCTTCCAAACTTTTCTGGATGCTCAGTCCTTCCATCAGCAGCCTGACCCCACTTAGCACCCTCCAGATGTGATGGGCAACAACTCCAGCATGTCCCAGCCAGCACATACGGTGGGCATCAGGTTGGGGATGGACAATTTAGCAGGTAATCTAAGCACTTTGAAACAAGACACCACTTCACTAGATTTGTTCGAGCTTCCTCTCTCACCAGTTTTTTCTGCCCTAAACTACCTGCAATTTCTTCAAGCTAGGATCTATCTTGTTCCTGAATTAGGGTGAAGGACAGCAAAAGGCAGGTGCTGGATTGTATAAAAGCAAGTAAGGCCCAATCACTAGCAGGCTTCATTTCCTATTATTCACAGCCATACCTTACAGCAGCTTTGATGTAATATATGGATACCTGTACAGGAGTTAGATTAAAGGTAAGACCACTTTTAACACGTCTTCTTTGGTGAACCTGTGATGACAGACTGACTGAGATAGTTCCCACAGATCTGCTTTAGTTACAATTGCATTAACCACTCTTATCCAAAGTTGACCACACTGCCATTAAATCAAGATTACAAAAAGGGATGGGGGAAGAGAGAAAGATTATGCAATTAGCAAAAAGAGGAAAGGAGCAAAAGGGTGAAAATATTGTAAATTATGTACTAATACTTACCTGCTTTTACTCACTATGATAAATTTGTTCAATATATCATCCTGCTATACAATTTAAAGATAGAAATTTATTGATTTCAAGTCTATTAGTTAAAAAAACCGTAACCAAGAATGAATATGCCCACCTCTTAACGATGGCGATACTCTCGTTCTCTATCACGCTCTCTGTCACGGTCTCTATCACGGTCACGATGTCTCTCACGTTCACGGCTTCTTTCCCGATAGTAATCATCATGGCGATCTCTGCTACGGGATTTGTGGCGACGGCTTTTCTCTCTTGACCTGCTGTGGTCTCTCTCCCTTGACCGCTCACGTCTTCTAAAAGAAATTACTTAATTAATTCTCTCAGATTACATTAATTTGTACCACTAAATCAAAGTTCTTGATTAATTAAAAGCCATAAATATACATAATGCAGAGTCAGTACAAGTGAGTAGTTGTTATGAACTCTGAGCTTCTTTTAAGACTACCATTCTAAGCTACAGAAATAGGTACACCAAGACCACACTTTTTAAAATACAGAAAAACCATCAAAAATCACTGTGCTACTCTTCAAAGGAGTACTTTAAGAACATTTAAGACATTTTCTTGAACTATTTAATGTTGGTGTTCAGAGAATATGTCTCCTTAAATAAATTTGCAGACAGTCCCCAAGTAATGAATGTCTGAGTTACAAGCAACCTGCACTTACAAACTGCTATACAGCCTATTAATTTTTTAAAGATTACTGTAAAAAATCACCATAGTGAGAGAGAAAGTGAAAGGGGAGAAAGGAAGGCCTCCAAAGGGGAGAGGGTAATCCTGGCATTTCCTTGCTGCAAAGAGGAGGCCTGGGTGAGTTTGTGGGGGGGGGGTAGAGATATTTGTGGGTTTTCCTCTTTGTTTAATTCCATTTCCATGCTGCCCCATAACCCAGAGGATGGAGTCCTACGTCCCCACCCCCATGAATGCAGAGAGCTGACTCTATGTGATCCAACTTACAAATATGACTTAAAGACAAATTTCTGTTTTCTCAAAATAGATCTTGTTCGTAACTCAGGGACATCCTGCAGGTGTTCCAAAAAACACCCATTATTTCCTACTGTATAATTTTGCTATCACTTGTTTCCAGACAGAAATCACTGTAGCAACTAAAATGGGTTTTTAAGTATTGGTTAAATACATGGAAAGGCAGTTTAAGAATGCTTATTTTTGACATCATTAGAAACTAACCTTCAGATTATGCTTACTTTTTCCCAAGCAATAAATTAAACTTTATTCAAAAATTTCACCCACTTGTATACAAAAGGTTTACCTTGACCCAGAACCATAAGATTTTGACTCAATTCCATGCAGGCAATCTTGCAGAGAGCTAATAAGTACTTTACAACGATCATCAGCAGATACTTTGGACTGTTTTATTAATGAAATTGCAGTCACCAAGGTTTCTATAGCACTTCCATACTCCGCTGAAAAGTGAACAAAAGTATGCATGAACAGAGATCCAGTGGCTCCAACAATGGTTGCAATATGTATTGCGGTAGTCTAAAGCCAAGATTTTACAAACAGCAAATGTTCTGGTAAACCTCTGTTCAGTCTGAACCATTTGACTGTAGGAGGAGGCTAGGCATGACTGAGTGAACCTCCATGCAGAAATATATTCCTCCACATTTTTAAAGCCTAAGTGTCAGGGAGAAGGGTCATAACTGAGCATTCTCCCTGCCATGCTAATATTCTCAGTACAGGACTAGTTTTGTGGTGGAGGAACATTCCATCAGACTCATAGCAGACTGAAGTGATACAATCCACAAATTTGCCTCCACTGCTGTTTGCAAAAATTAGGCATATGTTGCTAGACTTCCCACTTTTCCAGTTCTGAAGGGAAGAATTTAAAGTGGCTTTTCACAAGAAAAGTTAAAACAATTTAAATAGTCAATAATCATCAAACAAAGCTGATACACAGAAAGACTGGATAAACAAAAAAATTTAAAGCAGCTGATAGGTCAAAAAATTTCAGAAGTAATTCTCAGTAACAGAACACTGTTAAGAGGAGACCAAATAGTATGGAGTTTCACTTTCTGAGTGCCAAACAGAAAAGTCCTCCTCACATGTCTCTGGCATTAATACCTCAAAAGGTACAGGCACAGAACGACCACACCAGATGAACTTTGCAGTTGAATACTATCGTATCAAGGGATACAAGCCTTTAGGCATCATGGTTGTAAATATGTGAAGATTTAAAGATTCTACACCAGCACTATGAATCATGACCAGTTATGGTCATAATGTATTGACATGGCCTTCAGAAATAGATTCCTTCAAGATAATCTTTCCAGCACTAGAGGTTTTTGTATGTTACAGACCACGGAACCAGACAGTCAATGAAGAATGTATACTGACCAGCACTTGCATCTGATACAGCTCTTGAAATGGCACTGCTAGATATTGCCCTATTTCTATTCATAATTTCTTCAAATTCTGCTTCACTTAAAGGAGTCCTTGCAGCATCTATTTCTCTGCAAACACACACAAGTTCAAAACTTTTACTTCTAGCTAGTTAAAGCAGTGTAATTGTTAAAGCAGTGCAATTGTTTCAACAACGCTAGTAGGCAAACATAAGCAAAACAACATGTAAGAGAAAGCTTTTTCTAAACCAAGATGTTTACATTGCAAAACCTGCAAGCTAGAAAGAAAAAAAAGTATACTATCATAGAAGCAACATCTCTGTGACTACTTATGAAACTTCAATTAGTTGATCTACTTATGCAGTGCTTTCCATCTTCAGAAAGCTTCAAAATGCTTACAAATCTTCTGTCAAGTATATATGCATTATGAAAATTGTGGTCTGCTCAAATCTGTGCATGAGTCTAACAGTTTTGTCCTCAACACATTCTCTAAGTTTTACTTATTACATTGAATGCAATGAATAAATGGTGTCAAGCATTAAGAATGCTCAACGTTCTGTAATGGCAATCACGCTTTTAGCATAAGCAGTGTGATATGCTTGTTGCATACTTAACTAATTAATTAGGTAAGATTAGGTTAGAAGAATATTTAACTTATTCTGCAAGTACCCTCTTGGACTTTGTGGCATATTCCAGTCTCTAAACAGAAGTTCTGAAGGTGGACACTAAGAATGAAGAGGGACTTTTTGGACCTAACACCTCTGCAGATGTACCAAACAACTTCTTCCTCTCTTTTGTGTTGTGCCAAACACTAATCTAAATAATGTAATTTGATCTTGATACCTAGAAGTGAGATCATGCCTTATGATGTGACGTTAGACTATATGTTATATGTTCTTTATATTCCTTTCAATACTATAACATTATATGGCTTTGGGGGCTTTTGTTGTTTTTTTTGCAAGTGTTAGTTCTTCTGGTAGAAAGAAAATGCAGAATAAGCAATGCTATCCTCTTAAGAGCAAGAAGTGGATCAAGATCCTATAGCTGATTTAGCATAAGAGGAAATGTCTAAAAATTCATACCTCCCTGCGTTTTGAGTATTATTTTTCGTTTGTCTCCAATACAATGGCATATGTAATTGTTCTCTTATGGACATGTTATTTCCAGTGAAACGCCTATGATATATAATTGACAATTTAAATATAATTACGGATTGTAGTTGATCATCATGAAAATATTGGACATTATGTGCAGAGGTTGTACACCTGCTTTCACCACCCTCAGCCCTCCCTTGCCTATTAGTATTTTGATATACAAAGATAACAAGCTGTTATGGGTTCCCTGCATATTTTTTCAAACAATTATGCCCAATCCTCTAAAATTCTAGAATACTGTTCTGCAACATTTTAAGTTTTATAATTTTAGACATTAGTTTCATGAACAAATGAACAAAACTGGAAGCAATATGTTGAACTAAACGTTTTGGCAGATTATCTGACAATATTGTAATTTATAAACATTTGAGTGATGGTATAACATGCACATAAGACAAACAGCGTTAAAGGAAGAGTAGTAAAGTATACAAGCCAACAAGATTTTCTCAAATGAACTGGAAAACAAAAGGTGGATTTAGACAACTGAGATTATGGTTGATATGGAATCACCATGGGCTGCCTAAGCATGATTACCCATATGTTGACTGACATTATGGGAATTAGTTCACCACTTTCTAAGCAAAACTTAATCAGCAAGTGGCTGTCCTCTATTCAGTGGTGGGTTTTCCATATTGCTCATCATCTGAAGTGGTTGTCTGAATCCATCAGAAGAGTCAGAACAGAAAAGTATTCTAAGACAAAGATGTTGCAAAATGTTTTTTCATAAACACAGGTACAGGTAAAGCTGACAGAAAAGGAGAACACATCAGACTTAGAGTACATACATATGATTTTCTTATTAGAAGTTAATCTAAAGTTTGCTCACTCAAGAGAACATTTATATTAATATTTATATTTTGGTATACCACCAAGTGAAAAAATCATGAGGAAATACATTAAAAAACAAATTACTCACTTATACTCACAAAGCAAGGAAAAAGTTAACACTCTAGTCTATCTTTAAAGAGAAGTTCAACAACAAAGAGAAAAGTCAACAACAAAATCAAAATTGAAGAAGTATGTAGCTGGAGGGAAGAGGAAGACCTAAGTATTTTTAATTTACTGGTTCTCAAACTGTGTGGTAGGTGTCCTTTTTTTTTGCTCACCAAACACCTGGAAAGGAAGCAAGGACGAAGAGGACCCTGAGGCCAATGAACATTTCCTCTCCTTCAGCTAAAACAGAGGAAGGTTAAATATCCTTTAGCAAAGGACGCTGGCCCAATTCATATTAGATTTTGTAAGAGCTGCTGCTTCTTAATGATGTTTCCTGTTTTGTGATTCTCGAATATGAAATATTGTTCTATACTACTTTTTAATGCCATTATTGGATTCTTCCTCATTCCAAAAATTTCTGCACACAGTAGCAGGTTACTTGCAACTGCAGCATGCTTTGTCACAGACCAGATGGTTTTGGGGATCCAGAAGGCATATATTTAAAAGCTATATTAAAAATGCAAACTAATGATAAAGCTAACTAATAGCAAATATAGAGAAACTTATTTGTAAAGAGGGATAAATATGTTATCAATGCAAAAAGGTACTCACCTGCCTGGTGGCCCATAATCACCTCTGTCATATGGTGGAGGTCGGCCATATGGGTCTGAAGGTGGTGGACCACGGCTGTCTGATGTAGGTATACCACTGTTGGCTGGTGGGGGGAAGAAAGCTGGATTCACGTGTGGGGCTGGTGGAGGAGCACCTGGTGGTGGCCCAGGTAGGTGAGGAGGAGGAGCCAATGTCAGGGGTGGCCCTAATGGACCAGGGGGTCGAGGTGGAAAAGGGCCTGGAGGCGGTGGAGGACCTTGCTGTGGGGGTGGAGGACCTGGTGGAGGACCATAGCCTGGAACTGGAGGTGGAGGACCAGGAGGAAGGGGGCCCAGTGGAGGCTGACCAAAGGGCTGGCCTGGAAACAGAACAGGAGGAGGAGGGCGGTCACCACGATTAGGAGGACCAGTTAATGGAGGAGGTAGAACCTGGCCAGGTGGAGGAGGACCTGGCGGGCCTGGTGGGCCAGGAGGACCTAGAGGCGGACGTGGTGGAGTCTGTCCAGCTAAAGGAAAAAAAAGAAAAATAGAAATTTCTACACTCAGAAAAGCATGAGAAGACTTATTGACATATACATAATCCATAATTCTTAGTATAGAATGGTAAGAGGGTAATTAACCCTTCCTATTTGTATTCCACATAAAGTAGGCAACCTGCAATCAGCAAAAAGCAGATTCTTATGCATGTCTAATATTTTCTTATAAAAGTTCAAGGTCTGAGAATGCACAATGGGAAAGGTAATTAAAGTATCCATACATCCATTTTGAGCAGATCTTCAAAGGAAAATGCTAATGATAGTGATTCTAAACAAAGTACAAGAGACCCTCAAATATAATTCTTGATCCTACACAAGGCTACTTTAAGTCGCTTTAAAAATGTCAACTTCACAACAACACAATTGCTTAGGCTGCCTCAGTGGGATTTTTTTTCTATTTTAAATCAGCAACCTTCTTCAAGAGGAAAATACTAATGGAACTTATGCTCAAAACACATCTGGAACCTTTTTAAGAGAATGATCGAGATCATAGGAATGTGTAAGTTCCCTAGTCCAACCATTCATATATATATATACACACACTTTAAGGAAAATACCGTGGCACTATTTTATAGCAGACATGCTTTAACTAGACTTTTATCCAATGGTTAGCACACAATGATGGGAGTAGTGCAAAGTATCTGGAGGGCATTAAGTTGAGAAAAGCTGCATAAAGAGTATCTCTGTATTTCAGTATGAGGTAATGCCACACTCCAGGAATATAGCAAAACACCTCCAAATCAGGAAGTTGTTTTTCTATGTACTAGACATATAAAAAGGCAGCAAAATATTTTACCTGGAAAGGGTGGGGGAGGTCCTCCTGGTCCAGCTGGTCCAGGAAATCTGTCCCCTCCAGGAAGGGCACCTGGAAAACGACCCCTCCCTCTGTTACTCGGTGGAAATGTTGCTCTTGAACCCCCTCCTGGAGGACCAGCTTTTCCTTCACCAGACATCTGCCCTGACTGTGTAGCTGTAACAAGAAAACAAAATTGTTTAGTAAATTATATGAATTTAGCAAGGACTTTTAAATACCTTGGTGTATCAATTTGTTCTATTTACTGCATTTTAACATAGGAGACCACTTTTCATTGTATATGCTTTCATTTGCCTTGCTGAGCATCTTCATTTGGAACAGAAAATGCAAGATATAAGCCATACTATAGTTTACTTAAAATTTCTCTTACATGCTTTACCTTCATTTTTATAAATAATCATTTTGAACAGGATCTCAAGAGTTACTATAGATACACCCAAGGACTTACATATACCCAGCAGGATATTTTCAGTATATATCTTTCAGAAGCAGACCCCTGTAATATCAAATGCTGCTTCTGGAACATCAATAATCACAGTTTCAAAACCTTCCTTAGATATGCAGAAATGGTTGTGAAATTCTTTGTATCCTGATATTTATTAGTCCATCAGATTGATAATGCATTTTTGGAGACACAGGTCATAAAGTGCATTCTGTGGAATGCATCACCTTCTAATTTTATACAGCAGAGAAGCATACAGAATAGTTATTCTGAACACTTTATTAGGCTTCTCTTAATTATTCTATGAACAACTGGTGCATAGCAGAATGCAAGCAGGGCATCAAAGGATGCCTTGGTTCCTAGTTTATCTTCAGGTGCCCAAAACCTCTCCCATAAAAATCTGAAGAATTACTAGACATTTAGACTAATTAAAATTACAGTGCAACTAGCTGTGCATTGCAGTTCCATTCTAGAAGACAGACAATGAACTCCATGGTCAGGGAATAAAGTTGCTAACCAGTTAAAGACACATCTCCTATTGCTCATGTTATATGGCCAGAATGAAGTATTTTAGTAAAAAGTATTGTGTTTAATAGTGCAAATTCCTGACCATTAATTATCATTGTAACAAACAAGTCCACTAGTGCAAAGTCAAAGTTCACTTCTGAAAATCATGATCAGATAACAGAAACCAATGTACCCCATCACTTATAGCTCCTCTTTCCTTTACTATAGGGAGCTCAGGTGTGAAGCACAAATATATACCAAAGCACAGAAAATGTCTAGTATTCTCACAAATGGAGTAAAACAGTGTCTGGTAAATTCTTTAAAATTGCTAAAGTTTAGTATCTCAGAGTTCTAAGTTGACCAATAAGCAACTCAAATTAGGCCATAAACTTTTTCAATCTGGCTAATTATTTGGTAGAGAATTATGTAGACTAAACCCTACAATAATGGTAAATAAACTATTTTGAAAAGAATAATATTACGGTCTTTACTAAATCTTAATTTGCAAGTGTGTCAAAGTAATCATTCTTACGTATAGCTCAACTTAATTGGTTTGCTTTTGCCACCAAAAATAGAAGTACAAAAAAAAGTTAGTAGAGAATGGTTGCCTGTTCTCCTTTTCTTTCTACAATATTCTACTTCCACTTCAGTTCAGTTTTACTGTTTATATCCTGAGGTCATCACAAAATAAGTCTTTCAATAAATCAAACTTCATTCAGCAGACCTAAGAACCTAATTCCCAAATGCATCCACATTTGGCAGTTGTTAAATTGTAATGCTTCCCTCTGAAATGTACCCACTCAGAAAATAACTTAGAGGAATACTTACTTTTTCTTGACTGCAATTCAAATTGACTCAGAAATTGTTTATTGCATGGAGTTACAACAGGATTTTGACCATGCAATTCTCTTTTTGGTAATAGATCCATCAGTTTTTTGGAAGATGCTTCAGATCCTACACCTACAAGAGCAAACCTGAAAAAAGCAGAAAAAGAAACAACAACTGATGGCTGTGAGAAGAGAACCATATCATCTGCAGAGGGCACTAAAGCATGGACTGAAATCTGGAAATTTCTAGAACTGACCACCTGCTTTTTTCCACTAGTTCCCTTCTTTTTAAAAGCTCAGACTGGGTTACCCAGTGAAAATTAATAAAGGCATCCAGACAGTTTCTAATATACTGTAATATATAGTCATCATCTATGGAACATCAGTGTAACTTGCATTTACTATTAGCCATAATATAGCTGAAACCTTCAGCTACATTTGCTCCTTACGCCTATATCAACTTTCCTTCTTTTAGGTTACTTCTTACTTTCCAAAGCCTCCTCTGAACCTTTTCTTGACCAGCACAAGATCAACTGCTCTACATAATCTACTCCAATAAAAATCACTATTCCTTCCTCAAACTTGGTGTACATTTGCCATGTCTCAACTTTTTAAGATTCTAGTCTTTCCACAGAAACAACATACTAGTATTCTGTGCACTCTATTATCACGCTGCCAGTGATACAACAGAAACACTAGATTTAAATAATTTCTTACCCCTTAGACTGGCCATTAGCACGGTTCTCAAAAAATTTTATCTCCAAAATATCATTTACGCCAAGTGAATGAACTGCTTCAGTTAGATCTTCATCTGTTGTCCACTGCAAAATATTCATAACTGACATTTCATTTTTGAACATAATAGCAAACATGTATGATTCTTTCCCCTCCCACTCATCCATGTGAATAGAGCTTAATTATAATGCACCATCAGCCACCCCTGACATCTATAATATATATTCCACATTAAAAGATACATAAATTTTTAAATCAAAACTGCTTTAGCTTTTTGCCTTCTGAGTGTTGCTGTAATGCAGCCTAGTCCAAATTAATATAATTGAGGAAGTATGTTTGCTTCAACAAGATTGTGAATTAGCGAATAATTTACTTATTTAAACAGGCTGTAAACAGTAATGACTACCAACTCAAGAGAATATCTTGCAATTAATTGTTTTAAAAAGGGCAGTAGGTCAGCAGTCAGAGTACACCTTGCATGTAAAAGGTTTCCGGTTAAATCCCTACCATCTCCAGGCAGGGCTGAGAGAGTTTTATCTGAAACCCTGCAAAGTCACTGCCTGTCAAGTTAAGACAATGGGGCTATGCACAAGATATAACAGCCCACCATGGGTTATTTAACCTGTGGTGAAAATGCAGTGTGTAAGGCCAATGTTCTGAATATGCAGCCCTTTTCTGGGATTGTTATGCCATGCAACCTCAACCAGCATAGGTTATCTTGGGGTTCATGTTCATATGAGAGCGATTTGCATTTGCAACATATGCGTGGTGGTGGGGGGGAGATTTGCAGGTGCAAATGGGCACTATTAAATAACACACAACAAGTTATAATGTATTTTCTAAATCCAGGAAATAGTAATTTACTTAGAATAATAGTATGACTTCATACAAGGCAGTTTTCTGGTATTAGTCCAGCCATAACTAGATGAACACTTACCCAAGTAAGATTCCCAATATATAATGCAATTCTCTTTCCTGTATACGTGTAGACAACATTTGGTGCTGATCCTTTGCCTACATCATCTCCAACAGATGGTGGAAGAGAGTCCATATAATCACGATCCTCTGGAGCATCGCCGTTATTGGCAGATGGAGAAATGACGTCGTCGTACAGATCTATTTGATCATGCCCACCATATTCAGCCTCCTAGAAAAGTCATAAATACCATCTTAAAATTGTTAATAATGATCTCATATTTTTCTCTACATGCTTAATCTATAATTTTATGCCATTTATATACTGCCCTAAATATGCCAAAAAATGTCCAAGAGGTCCCTTCGAGAGATACAAAATAGAAGTCCAAGGACCATTAAAATACTTATCTTGCATACACAGATAGAATACAAGCATCAATGTCTACTGGTAATAATTAGTAGACAATTAAAATTGTCTCTGTACAAGATGTAAGTACTTAGTATAAAAGCAATCCAAATCATATAATCAACATGGCAGTTACTCAATGTATAGTTGAGCACAAATGCATGAGGTGTGGGTACTCAATATTCAAAAATCTATATAATCAAGAATGCATTGTACATATCATATAAACAATATAGCTGTTCACAAAAACTAGATTGCATTTAAGTTCCATTCTTCAGCTCAATTATCTTAATTTAGCATATTCGTTACAGATGAAAGCATCAAGCATGATCCTCCCAATTTCTATGTTCTGAAATAATTCAAAAATGAAGTGGCAAAAATGCTTCAATGAAATTAAGTGTCAAGGCCATGCTATTCAGAGAAATAGTATCCTCAAGAGTATATGTGCTGGAAATACAAGAGGCCATGTATGAAAGAGACCTGTCACTTTCAATTTCATTGAAGCATTTTCACTGTTATTGTATTTTATTTCTATCCCACCCATAGTAATCTCCTCAATATTGTTATCTCTGTCCTAGAGAACACAATCTAAGAATCTTTTATCTAAGGTTCAAACTACACATCATACATAGTTATGTGATGGTGTTTCTAACAGGTTTTTGTGATAAATATGAAATAGCTACAGGTTATTTTTTAAGGCTGGTTTTCCTGTCCACTCAAAAACATTTCCCAAGTTGCTTCTCTTCCCACAGGGAAAACTTATAGGGACCTTATCACCTCCCACCATGGATGGGAAACCACCTAGACTGGGGCAATGCAGAACAAAGGAAGCCTGGCAGGGAAAGACTCACTGCCCTCAAGTTTCTCCATGGAATCTATTAAACAACCATGAGTCTTTTGCACTAGAATATGGAGGTTTTTTTTTCCAAAACTAGTGGTAAATTGCTGCTCTTGTTATTACTGTTGTTATTATTACATTTTATGTATTCATTTCCTGCCTTTTTTCCTTTTAAGGAATTCAATATAATTCCCCTCCTCCTCCTCACAATCCATATTTTGTCCTCTTGGAAGGAACCCAAGGAAGTTACATGGTTCTCCTCCTCTGCATTTTATCCTCAGAACAACAAATTTATGAGGCAGGTTATTTTCACAGTATGCAAGCAGCCCAAGGTTACTCAGTGAGTACCATGGTTAGAAACTAGATTTCCTGTGTTCTAGTTGACCACTTTAATCACTGTGCTACACTGTCTCCCACTTTAAAGGTAATATGATACAATCAAAATAGTTTAACAAATTAACTATAACAGACATGGAGTATTTTTTTTCATGCAGCTACAGGAAAAACTTGTGTTGAGATGCTGCCCCACTTAACATTCTGATGGATACCTAAGATAAATGTTGCAAAGCTTTGCTCTTGAAAAAGTTAAGTAGGAAACACTGCAACAGTATCATGATGCACATAGCTCTACCACTTAAGATGGTCCACTGGACTCTTTTCTGCTCACGATAAAAGAAAACTAACAGCTCTTTAGGAGAGAAAAGAGCCTTATAGCAAGTTCCCTTACCAGAAGGAACCTTCCTGACCACTACCAAGCAACTAATTCCAAATCGGCATTATTGACAAAGACTGACTACCTGCACCTCTACCATGCCTGCCACACCTCTTCCCTCACTGTCCCAAATGCAAGCTTGCTTGCTTTCTTGCATTTAATCACTACATTTTCATGAAAGGACAGGGTCAGACATGTAGTTTCCACGGCTTAATAACATTTTCTCCAAACAAGGCTGTCTATTTTAAAAAACGCATTTTACATGAACGACTTATACTCAATTTCAAAAAGAGAAAAAGGATTTGCCGAGACAACATTCTATTTAGGAATGCATTATCACATTTGATGCAAACAGAAAGCTCACAAAATTCCTGATGAACTTAACTCCTCATCATTATTACTACATTGCATTTATATCCTGTTTTTCTTCTTCTTGTGAGGAACCCAAGGCAGCTAGCATAGCTCCATTTTTATCCTCACAACAAACCTGAGAGATTGGCTATACTGAGAGTGAGTGACTGGTCCCAAGTCACCCAATAAGCTTCACGGTAAAGTGGGGACTAGAACCTGAACCTCCAAGATCCCTAGTCCAATGCTTGATCCACCACACCACACGTAAGGCCAAGAAAAATGAGCAAAATTTAGAGATGCCAAGGAAATATATTTCGTTCCATAACTATAACCATTAACAGGGAAATAAAACTTAGCACATTTACTCCAAGGATGTCTCTACAATCCAAACCTGTATTGATTATACTAATTTTACTATTTCCTTCTCACATAAAACTTTTAGGAACCTTTGTAGCTGAGTATTACGACAATTCATAGTGAGAAACACCTTTTCTCAGTCATCCCAGAATGCAGGACATGGAATAATGGACGTAAGTTGCAGGAAGCCAGATTCCAGCTGGACATAAGGAAAAATGTCTGACTGTTAGAACAGTACAGCAATGAAACCAATTCCTTGGGAAGTAATGGGCTCTGCTGCACTGGAGGCATTCAAGAGGCAAATGGATAGCCATGTGGTAGGAATACTTCAACTGGAGTCCTCCACTGAGCAGAGGGCTGGACTTCATGGACTTATAGACCCCTTTCAACTGCACTATTCTCTGATTGTATGTTAGCACCAACGCAAAATGTATGAAATATAGATGCCACAAAAGTTGCAAAGAACCTTTAAAAACAGTTCAGATTACATGTCAATGTTGATAACCGAGTCTTCAAACTCTTAGGTTGCAAATACTATACAAGCAATGGATACAAATTTAGAATCTATGACAAACATTTTATTATGCGACTAAAATTTGCTGTATCCATACTAACCAAAAAGGCTGCCAGTATGCCTGCTGTGTAGACAGAGGAAAATGCACTCTGTATATGTAATACCAAATGCCCTCAAAAGCCACAAAGAAAACTTTGTATACCTTCTTTTGCAGAATTGTGAAAGGACAGAGCTAAGCTTTCTCCATGGTGGTACATACATCAGGGAATGCTTTCCCTAGTGGTTTCTCCTCACCCCTTGGCTCCCCTTATTATGATCTTCAGTCTCCAAGGAAAATACATTTTTCAGAATTATCTTCTGCTAAATGAATGGATGTGTTGTAAACTACTGTACAGTTTTTAATTAGCCACTGATTTTTTACCAAATGGTTATGTTTTATTGATTTTTATGCATAATACTTAAATTTAGTTTTAATGTATGCACTCCTTTAACTGTTTGTCAAAAAGCAATCCTAGGAAAGGCAAGAGGATAGTAAGGTGGAGAATCCTTCACTACTTCTAAAGACCTACTGGCTTATACAAAGGAAATCTTATCTTTTTTAATTTCCTCACCTGGGTTTCAATAGGAAGGAAAGAAATGGATCTTACTATTTCATACAGAAATTAAGACTCTGAATCTGCTCCTGAAATGTCCTGTTTAGCGTCTACTGCTGTCTATTACCATAAGTACATTTACATCTATGAAGTTTTCCACAGACATAACTGGGCCACCTCCTGCCACCAGCAATTTTCTGCCGTGATAGAAGAGCATCTCTGTCCCATCCCAACTCCTCTTTTATGGTTTTCAAGGTTGTTAACATTTCTCTATTCATCACTAAATACAAAAATTAATAAAATGTTTTGGCATTTAATAGCCACAAACCTGTCCCAGAGTATATATTTATTCTCAATAGAGAACAATATATCCTCAAGCTCAGAGAGCTTATTTACTTAAATATGTTGTCTCATACTATGAAATCAACCTCTTAGTTTCATTTTTTCATCTTTCATTTTTTAGATCAGTTTCATGGCTAATTTTCAACACTCAGGACATCAAGTTACCAATCTCAGTAAGAGTGGAGAAAAGCAGTTTGACAAGGGTATCTGAAGGAAAAGCACAAACAATGCTATGAAAGCAGACATGAGATCACAACTATTGTTCAGTTCCTCTTATTCAATAAGACCATTTCCAAAATCTCTACAGTAGTCTGAGGTGACATGAGAACATCAAGACACATTGAGAATGGTGGAATCGCTAATGTTACCGAAATAGCAACTGAAATAAGTATTTCAGACTCAATTAAGTCATGTACATGCTTGTTGCTATCATTGATTAGCCAACAGTTAAGAAACAGAAAGAAGTGTTGTGTTTCTGTCATTAGGTTTTAGAACTCTTTTGAAATAAAACCCCTTTTCTATGCTCGTACCAAAAGTATCAGCTTAGATTCCAGTAAGCTATTTTGTGCACGAAAAACATTATATTAATCAAAGTAAAAAATAGAATTTGTGTTTAATGGAGTTTGTTTAAAAACATGGAAAACTATTTGTAGGAGGGGAGGTATGCATGGTGTATCCTGATGCACTGAATGAAACTTCTTTGCAAAGAAAATATTACTATGAATCATCTGGGGGGGATACGTCTTATATTCCTCCCATCTGTTTGTCGGATCTATTATCGGTTGAGATCTACAATGTTTTGCGCGTTCGAGGAAAGGAGATGCCTTGCATCTCTCCTGAAGCCCCCAGGGAAGCGGCTGCTGTGTTTGCGGCGTCGCGTTCCAGTCTCCCGTGTATCGAGGGGGAAGGCGGAGTGGGCAACAACCAGCAACGTAACGTTACGAAGCAGGCTCCGTTTCGAGTTCATTGTTTTCCAGCCCCTGGGGCCTTCCAGAGAAAGGCGAATAGGCGGGAGAAGAGCGGAGAGGGAAACGCGCATTAACGCTAGGCCGCGCCCCCTCCCTCTCTAAGACGAGCCTCTCTCCCACCCAGCCGGGTACTGAGCGTACTCGCTGCGGCCGCTCAACGCGCCAGGCGGGAAATCTGCGCGGGGCCGCTCAGCCAGCGCTACGGTCAACAATGGCGGCGCGGCGACGGCTTCCCTCCCGCACTGCGAGGCCCGCACCGAGCGAGCGAGACCGCCAGCCCGCCAGCGGCTCTCGTGCGCGCACCACCCAACCAGGCCTCTGCCCGCCTCCCGCGGCTCCTGAGCCGGAGTGCGCCGCGGCCGTGGCCGAAGCAGGGCGCACGGAGCCTCTACCTGGTTAAATTCCTCTCCCACATCGGCGTAGATGTCTATGTGGTCCACGCCGTCCGCCATATTCCGCGCCTCCACCTCCTCCTTCCCCTCCACCGCCGCAGCCGCCAGCCCCGCCCGGCACTACAGCTGCCGCAGCTAGCCGCCGCCAAAGGGGGAGGAGTGAGCGGGGACTGGGCGACGTCACTTCCGGGAGCGGCAAAGGGGCGCTTCCGGTGGGTGAATGTGAACGTCGATGACCCTTCTGGGTTGGCCTAGCGGGGGTTCGCTCGCCTCGCTCCACGCTCCCTCTTTTCGGGGTTTCCCTACAAGTATCTGCCGCCTTTGGTCTCTGCAGTCGTAGCGTGGCTGGATCCAGGGTCCTAGCAGGGGAGGGAGAGCCTCACAAGTCCTGCCTGTGCTATAAGCCTGTTCCTGTCACTGTGGGAAGAGAGACAAAGACGACGGCGGGAACTTCCTCGGACGCGTTATCTTAAGATAACGGAAAACGGCCTCATACTGGGTCCACCTATTGGTCTATCTAGCTCAAGACAGTCCGGCAATAGCTTTTTCCCGGTTAGGTGCTCTTCAAATACTTTGGACTTAGGTTCCGGAAGAGGGCCTTTCCTGTTGTGGCACCCCCATTATGGAATGAACTTCCTGAGGCGAGGGGAGGGGGCGCTCGCCTGGCACGTATATACTCATTTTGCTGAGCCTAGGCAAACACTTTATTTTCCTAAGAATTCTCCCAGGAATTTTAGTTTCATGCAGTTTTAAACTCTACATTGTATTTTAAATCTTTGTATTGTATTTCTTGCTTTTGTTTTATATATCTTGTTTTAAATGGCTGTCAATTGCTCAGAGGGTTTCGGCTATTGGGCAGTATAAAAGTGTAATAAATAATCAGCCCCAGCCATCATGGCCAGTAGTGAAAACTATTGAGTCACCAGTTGGAAAAGGTTGGCACTTGCTCACCAGGGTTTCTGACATTAGTCTTTTCTAGCTCTGCCAGGTAATGACTGGGATAGAACCCACAAACTATGGCATGCAGAGCAAGTGTTCCTACCAATGACCTATCCATGCTTCCCTTCTTCCCCTGGCCGAGCATAGGATGTCTGTGTATTGTTTAAGGCTTACTGGAACCAGTTAGAGGCAGCATTAGAACAGGCGAGCAACATTCTTGAGAAGTTGACTGATCCAGACCCTCTTGTTATGAGTCAAATACTTGAACAAGAAACTCATGGATTTACCAATTGAACTAGCAGTAAGTACTGGAAACAAGAGATCAGCATGCAGCCCTATGTGACATGCTGTCAAGAATTTGATCTCCTGAGCATTTTTTGTTTCCTGTGCACAGGTAGGAAGAGCTCAAGAGGATGTAGCAATGACAGGCAGCAGAAGCAAGGGACAAATCGGGGGTGCTGAGATTTGAGGGGATAGCACTGATGACAGAACTTATAAGCCCCAGAATGGTGAACAAGTGAGCTGTGATCTTCAGAACCTTCAGATGAATTGGCACTAGACCCCACAGAGAACAATTATTGGGAGGCCATTTAAAAACAAAGTTGAATAGGACCAGGCTAAGCTGTATTATTATATATGCTTTTCCTGATTGGTACGCTTCATCAGATGCTGTCTACAGCATTATAGTCCATTATGCTATGGACTACAAATTATCATCACATATGGTAAATTTGCTAGTCTTTAAAGTACCACAAAACTCTGCTGTAGTGGAATCTTCTCCTACTCTATAATTTATTATAGCATGTTTGTCACTTTTGTATAATATATATGTGGCATGTTTCCATGTTTTGTTAGAAAATAGAAGTCAGGCAGTGAACATTGGTTGAAATGAAGTGTTTACTACCCAAGCCTTTGTATATTAACTTACTGCTCACACTTATCTTGGGGGTTACTCAAAGTGTGAATAGGATTTCTGCTTAACAATCCAATCCTATCTATGCTCAAAAGAAAAGAAAACTAGTATGTGTGTGTGTGTGTGTGTGTGTGTGTGTGTGTGAGAGAGAGAGAGAGAGAGAGAGAGAGAGAGAGAGAGAGAGAGAGAGGTTGCAGCCTAATTTCATACATGCTTCCTATAAAGTCAATAGAGTGAATATTTTTGGTCAAAATTACTTTGGCTAAGGTGCCATGCTATAATGTCATGGTTTATAATTCTATTGAAGATCATAATCCCAACATTGTATTCTTTTTTGGCTCCAGGTCAAGACTTTCTAGGCATTTGGATACGTATGATGTGCTTGTTAATGCACCAATTGTTTTGGTTATGATTATTCAGATGTTTAGTTATCTAGGCTTTGCATTTTAATAAAAATAGTTTTCAGCTGTTGTATATTGCATATTGTATAAAATTCTACTTTTTAAAGAGAAAGCATCTAATACATTAATGTGTTATAATTCAAATATCACATATATTAAAATTAATAGAATGTAAGCATTTTTACTACAGTTCTGTTTTTACCAGTATAGCATTTCTATATTAACCAGGGTAGTCTGACATAGAGGGCATCATAGTACTTTAGCTTAAAGATTACCAGAGTGTAGATTATTGAAACCAGACTATCCCTATCAATTTAGGGACTTTGCCAGGCCATCTGCCAAAGCTGATAGAGGACACTCCAAAGCCACTGAGGCCACCTAGCTCTCAAGTGACAAAGATGCCTCAGGGAGGGCATCCCGTCCTAGTACAAGAGGTTGAATACCCTCCATCTGTTCAGAGAACCACCCACTAACAACATCTAAGTCTTGTCTGGATTCCATTTGTTTGCCCTCATCCGTTCCATTGCCACAGCCAGGCATGAGCTGATACATCCACAGCCTCACCTGCTAAAGGTGAAAAGGAGAAATAAATTTGGGAGTCATCAGTGCAGTGTACTCCAAAGCTCCAGATGACCACACTCAGCTGTTCAAAGGAATTGTTGAATATGTGGAGGCTCAGATCCCACCTTTGTCTTGTAGTCAATATTTTGAGCAGGTTACTTCCTGTGCTTTCCATGACAGCCATTTTGTGCTGGTGCCCAGAACAGTTTATTCAATTGCCAAATGTGCCCATGGTCCAAAAAGGTTCCTTACACTGTCATACAATGTAGCTACAGCAGGTGTCACTATTACCAAAGTAAAATCATCCACATTAAAACCTAATAATGCAACTCCTTAATCACAGATAAGGAGTCTGCATGAGTTCTTGTGAAGAAAGGGGGTTTTTCACCTCTCAAGGGAGGGCTTGTAGATATTTTGGTAAGTACTTAGGCAGTCTTAATTGTAAATTAAACATCTAGATTTTAAGCTTAGGTTTGATTGGGTATTTACCATTTAAATCATAATATTCTCAACGTGTATCATAATAACATACTATTTCTAACGTAAATCACATTGTACTAGCACAAGTGACCTCTAGAATGACATGAAAGCTTTTGTCAGTGTGATAGGTTTTCTGGATGAAATGTGTCATACCAGCAAACAACTATTAGTCTTGTATGAGAGGCACTTAAGCTGGTGCAAAGTTGTTTACATTAGCAGTAGTGCTGAAGAGGATGCTGCCCACTAACTTTGTTTAAAACTGCTTTATAGATTTACAAAAATACAGTAAAACAGATAGAAAAAATGTTATGCCATTAAAGCTCCAAAATTGTCAGACAAAATCAATCAGAAATGGACCAAAAACATATATAGGTCTTTACGCCTTTCTGAAAAGTAGAGAAGGTGCCAACATGAGCAAGTGGCAGGTAGTTCATATATAAAAATTTTGCTCAAGTTGTGATCATAGAAGTTCACACGGAGTACTCTTCCAAATACTCCATATGGCTGGTGCCAGGTGACCCTCCCAGTGAAAAATACTGTTAAGCTGCTCATAAAGAGGGAAGGGTAGAAATTTACAAATGCTCACTTCATATCTTTAAAGAAGTTTACAGACTAGAGACAATGGCTGAAAAAGGAAAAACTAGCTCAATGACAATCCTGTCTTTGCAGCATTTGCTGTCCCAATACCTTAATTCTAAAGTAATTTCAGTCGCATTGATTTCAGTGGGATTGACTGTTTTGGTTTCTAAGTAAATGTGCTTAGAAACACTGGATTCATGATGACATTGCTAACAGTAACTGGAGAATATTTCTTTATCATCTGTATGTTGTTTTCAAACAATTATACAGAGTTTTAATATATTTTCATGTAAAACAATCATTTGTTCATATTTACAGACTTACATTGCCAAATAAAAATAAACAAGACTGGTTCTTAAATGTACTTGGATGTGTAGAGACTATATTTATAATGCAAAAGAGATGTCACAGAGAGTCATCATGGTTCAGTATGCCATAACCTTGGTGGTGAAGATGTTGACCTAGAGTGACCACTGACTGCAACATACAGGTGCTTGGAATCTGCACGTTTATTTGAAAGTCTGCAAGAGTCTTCAGAGCAGTGTTACGGCCCAAGGAAGTGAGACCAGTTCCAGAGTTAGGGACATTTAAATCCTGCCTGTGAAGCAAAATAGGAAAAGGAGGCTTGAGAGTGGTAGACGGAAAGCAGAAAGAAGAATAAAGAGGACAGGAAGTGGAAACAGCACAGGCAGTGAAGCCAAGTCACCTTTAAAAGGTACCAGGATGATAGTGAAGGTGGAAGCTGGAGCAGAGGAGAAAGGCTGAAAGACCATACAGAGAAAGAGCCAGGTGGCTAAAGTGAGGCTCGCAAGGGGGAAAAGTAAGAGGGAGATCTCTTCCCTTTGGCAAGCTCCTATTGCGAAAGGAAAGAAAAAGCCCGCTTCTGCCTATGTACGTATCTGTTGCTAGAGTGTTCCTTGTGGACCCATAGATTTTTGTGGTGCTCTTTCTCCTAAAATAGATGACATTTCTTTCAGTTTTGGAAAAAAAGGGCAAATAACTTTTCCATGTGTTCATTCAGCATATCACTTCAGAAAATAATCCCTTTATTTATAGTATTTATATCCCATCCTTTAGCCAAAATCTCCCTGAGCAGCTTGCAGGGTTAAGATGCATGGTTCCCTGCCCTTGGTACCAAAGTTAGACTGGAATCAGCCTGCTAATCATGCCTAATGGCAGTATTTCCTCTAGTGATACTAATGCTAAAATTGCTTTTTTACATTTTCTGTATTTACTCTGGTAGCAGAGCTGTGGGCTT